ACCATCTATGCCAGACGCTGCTTGTCTTAATTGATGAACGATAAGCCGCAACAGGCTCTCGGGGATGCGATGCAAGCGCAGGTGGTGTCGCTGCAGTGGCCAACTGCTTTGTATTTACAAGCGGCCTGCTTGTTTAGCCTAGGGATGGAGACTGATGCCCGAGAAACACTCAAAGATGGCACCAACTTGGAAGCCAAAAGGATCAAAAACTGAATATCGTATAGGTTTTCAAATTGTTTTATTTTATTTTTTATCTTTCCTTTCATTTTCAGGCTCTTGTATTTAATCATGGTTTTCAGAACCGGACCGGTTAGCGAACCGGATCGGTTAGCGAACCGGTCATGCTATCGGTTCACTAGTTCAACCGGTCGAACCGGTCCGACCGGTCGAAAGAACCGGATGACATCATAATTATTTAAAAAATTAAATAAAAATACCATAAATATTTAATAAAAAATAATTTTTTATATCACAAGTTATATTCAAAGCAAGTCATAACATATATAAGTTAAAAACCATAAAATCAAGTAAAACAAAATGATTCAAATTAACTACAACATAATATTTAAGGTAAAATATATTAAATAATAAATATAATTATATAACTATAATTAAAAAATAAATTTGGGGTTAAAAAAATCATAACAAAATGATATTGTTTGGTTTAATTTTTTTTAAAAAACAATCTCACATGGCTAAGAAACATAGAAGAACATCCCAAAAGTCTAAAGAGTAAAAATATGAGAACAAAACAATCTCACATTGCTAAGAAACATAGAAGCGCATCACAACTAACTTCTATAAATAAAAAAGGTAATTTGACATTCAAAATCATAGAGCCTTTTGGTGAGCATTGAGTGAACTATTCTTTCACTTCAATCAAACTCGAATTTTAGGCTTCAATCGAGCTTCTAATTTTTTTTTGAGTTCAAGCCTTTTTGAGTTTAAGTTTCAATATTATATTTCGAGTTTGAGTTGAACTTGATAATTTTTAGCTTGTGAGTTTGAGTTGAGTTGAGCTTACTTTTAAAGTTTTCAAGTTCGAGTCGAGCTCAGCAATACTCGAGTTCGACTTGGCTCGTTTAACAAACGACGTTGTTTGGTTTAATTTTTTTTAAAAAAAATAAAAAATCCCGGTTTTTTCCGGTTTTCAGCCGGTCCGATTCGAACGGTTCAGCGATTCTGGCCGGTTCACTAATAGCGGTTCAACCGGTTTAGATTGAACCGGATTAAACAACGGTTCCCGGTTGAACCGGCCAATTCGGTCCGGTTTTCAAAACAAAGTATTTAATTGTGTTTTCGCTGCATTGCATAACTCTTCAAATTTTTATCGTTGGTTTTGAAATTTTGCTAAGATTTCTCACTATAATCATAATTGATGAACATGGTATTTCCCTGAAGTCACAACCGTGAATAAAATTAAATCCGGTCAAAGAAACGCACCCCGGACGACAATCAAGCGACAACGGTTATTCGGACCAGAGATAACTAAGATGAATGCGCATAATATAACAAGCTTTATACACGTATGGAGAAGAGAGTTGTATATAAGTCGTATTTCCATTACTCATCATCACAGCAACAAGTTTCCGAGGATCCTTTACAGTAATTCTGCTTATTTTTCATTCTTCTTGCCATCGTTCAACTGTGCGCGGAAAGAAGTTTTAGGATGATGGCACGTTCAAGTGGAAGAGCCATGATATGACTAAAGCAAACACCATGCATGCAAGGAGTAAGTTGAGGAAGCGATGACCATGCCAGAGGTTCCGGGACTCTGAATAGGATACTGGTCCTGAGACAGCAGCTGTTGCAGCAGAACTGTTGTTGTCGTTTGGTTGCTCTGCCGACTCGATCTCATTCACTCCAACTACGTTGCGTGCGATAGATTGACAAATTTCACAGGTCCTAAAAGACCAAAGCAAGAAATGTCAAATCTCCCTAACCATGTCAAACAAGAAATCTAGAATCTGCAACTTGCAAATTAAAAATATCCGAAGCAATGCACCGCCAAACAATGATCTTCGACCAAAGATTAGACAATGCATTAATAAAAAAATGTCAAAGCACCATTTTCCTACATGGAAAGTGAACATAAAGGAGAAAAGAACAAAAGCTAGATATTCCTAAACCTCAAAATTAAGCACATAAACAGCAAAGAATCGTCGGTGTAGTGAAACAAAGCACAAATCTTGAGTCTTTAGCTTTATATTGAAGCTGCTTTATAAATGTAATATCTATCCTACTTTCTTTCCAATTAAGCAAATTTGTCTCATGTTTTCACCTTACAACTATAGTGAAACAAACAGTCTAACACCTAAAGTAATCACTTTTTTTAAACTATCAAGCAATCATCAAAAGAGTAATACACAGAAATATCAATAATGATCCATGAAAAGGTGGTTAATTTACTCTAAAAAGGGTTGAGATTGGAATTGAATTATGCTTACTTATTTCCTCTGATCTTAAACCAAGCCTCAGCACAGTGTTTATGAGCGGCAGCAAGATCATCCTTGCAAGAACAACCCAATTCAATAGCACCACCGGATTCATGGCTGTTACTCTCTAAACCCAAATGACAAATTCTACAATCTTTCTCGACTTTAGCCAAATGCACTTTGATTTCATTAGCTCCGTTTTGAATCTGCACCACCACCGAACAATCCGATGCCGAAGATACCCTCCCGGAACCCGAAACGTCACCGATCTCGCCATCTGAACCGCAATCATCGTAGGAACCGCCGGTGGTGGAATAGAACTGAGAGTAGCAAGAGCCCTCGTCGGCGTCGGAGAAGCATACGCTAGCCTCATCGGCGCTCATATCACTCCCGTTCCGGCGGTGAGTACCTTGCTCTAAATCGAAGTGGGAAATCTCTAATGATGACATATTTGGAATTAAAAAAAAGTGTATGAAGCGGTTAAAGTTTGAAGCTTTGAAGGTCAACAATGGTGTCAAAGATTGAAGCTTTGTGATGGTCTTAAACAATAAAATGAGAGGACCTAAAGAAGTTGCTATTGGATTAGGTGACCCTTTACCTCCATTAAAGTTTACATTAAATATGAAAAACTTGTAAAAAAGAAGAAAAATAAGGACTGACCCAAAGAACCAGAAGGTGAAAACATGGCAAAGATTTACAGAGCCGTGGCTTCTCAAATGCATAGAAAAAAGACAATGACTAAGAGAGAGAGAGAGAGTGGAGCAGAAGCTTAAAGAGAAGAAAAACAGAAAAACAGAGAACCGAGAATCGATTTCTTTTCTTTTCTTTTTCTTTACATAATTAATATGATGAATAAAGATGGAAACAGAGAAAACAAAGTTGTTGGAAGATTTGGTGTTAGTACTTGGGGATCTCTGTTCTAAGCTGATTCTGTACGTCCGATGGTATCAGTATAGTGGTGTGAAGATGATCTGACGCTCAATAATTTAGGTAGGCATAATCCTTCAAGATCTCACGATACTTTTATGACAATGGAAATTCGAGGGCAACGACAAATTTACTTGTCCGAGAATTATCACTTACAACTCGTTTTATGATTTGTTTTTTGAAAAGTTCTTTTTTCAGATTAGAATTTTTTTTAAAGTTATAGCTTTTTGAAAAATATTTATTTAAAATGTATTTTTAATTTAAATGTAAAAATTGTAATTTTTATACCTTTAAAATTAAAATTTTAATATTTATCTAATAAGAATTGTAATTTTTAATTTAAAATGTATTTATTTGTGAGTTTTTATACTTTGAAAAGTTTATTATGAGTAACAAATTATTAATATATAATTTATAAAATTTATTTGTGAAAAGTTTATTGTGATTAACGAATTATTTCAAATCTTATTAGATAAAAAATATTTTAAATTTATATAAATTATTTTCATAGATTATATATTTTAAAAATTATTTGTGGGTAAGATTTTTTTCTCCTCCATCTTGTTTTTTCTTGAGACAAACTTTTCATAATTCATTCATCTTTGTGTTTTTTTTATCTTTCAAATTTATTCATTCATCTTCTTTTTCTTTGTAAAATTTAAATCCTCCGGAGTTGTTTTACTAATTTCTTCATGGATTTTTTAGAATAATTTAATATTTACATTAAAAGTTATTTTTAAATTGAACTTTTGCTAATGTCAGATTTTGTGTTTTAAACTTGGGTTTGATTATCAGCTGAAATGGACTTTTGAGTATAATACAATGCTTCTGATATAGAATTTCAACTTTGGATTGAATAATGGACATTATAAATGCCTTGTTTATTTACAATTGGGGGGGGGGGGGGAGGCAAAGAGGGTCTGAGGAATCAGTTGAAAATGAAGCAGGCTCACATGTTTATTCGCAGATCAAGGCAAAATGCTCAGTACAAACATTGAACCTAAATGTATTTCTTCTGACAAATCATTTCCAAAATAAAATTAATAATGAAAAACTGAAATCCGTTTTGGATGCCTTTCAAGTGTCGGTTGAATCTGCAATTCTCATGGGAGCCAGTGATGTGATGGGTCTGCTAACCCTCTTCTTGCCATCTCTGTTTTCACTAATGTTTTCCTTTTGTCCCTGGAATACTTTCTTTGGTATTGCTTTTAAAAAATGCTGTAATTCACAAGGATTCTCCCCATTTTGTCTCTAAATATCAGAATATTGTTATGATAACTCAAGTTACTACTTCAAACGTCTTCAAAAGTTTGGAGCTTATGAATGAACATGATTGGTTTTAGTTCAAAAGTTACTACTTCTAAGACAAAAGAAGGAACAAAGTACTCATAATCCATCAAATTCCAAGGGTTAGGTCTCATGAAAATAGGCAAATATTCAATTCTCTTTGTAAAACAAACACCAAAGAAAAAAATGAAAAGAAAAGACCCTCTCAGAGGACAAAGCTGAATCTTTCTATTCATAAACCAACACAATTGGCACCAAAATGGACATCAGAGTTGGCACCACATACATTTGGTTTCAGTCCAAAAGCATCTCTGCAAATGGAATGCAACATGGTCACCCTCTTTCAGGCAGCCCCTAGCATGTGTCCCTTTCATGGTTTGAACCCTGGAAAGATTAGTATGTTATATAGGGAGTGACGATGGAACCTGGAAAGGGTACATCGACGTGTTTCTTTCACTAGTAATGGCCACTTGCTTTTAGTGAAGGCTGATGTCTTCCACTTTTATATTCACTCACAACTATCAAGGGAAATAAATGTAATTGCCCTTCCTTAACTGTTTGAATCTAACGAAACTAAATATCAAGGCAGTTGCAGCTCTACTTCAGAATTAAACACATGAAACCTACTTTACGCTTTGTCCCGCACTCCATGTTATTCTCTGGCATCAAAGGTCATTCAAGCACAAGACATGAACATTTAATCTAAAAGCCCATTTAATAGGAATTGTTGATCAAATGAAAATGGAAACAAGCTCCCCCGTATCAAACTTATCAACCACTATGCCCATTTAAGCATCGGGGTCAAGCATTGCAATGAACTCATATGAAGTCTTTCTTGTGATTCAGTACCGCAAGACATTTACCTTGAACACAAGAAACCGGGATCCCATTCCAGCATTACTCCCAAGCTAATTCAAAAGCTAAGACTGCCATTCTTCATCATTTTTCTGACCGCTTTATCTCAATTTATAAGTACAATTGTCTCATTCTATGTTGACAGCAGGTTGGTCATAGTGCCCATTAACTTGCTGTTTTTCTCAATTTATAAGCGATCACCCATTCGGCTCTCCTCAAAATGTCCCATGTTCGCTAGAGATGTATGAGGTGTTGTACCAACAGCTGCATCATCCATTGGTCTGACGCTGCTATTTTCCAATCCGCTTTTCAGCCAAGCAAGGTTACTTATATCGGTGGCTATTGCAGCCAACTCATAGTTCGGAAAAGATGGAGGTTCTGAAAATTCCACGAATTCTGGCCCCAGCAAGGACTTACTTTGACCATTTTGAGTTCCACAACAGCCATGACCACATTGCGGAGGTACTAAACGATCAGTGTAAACTCCTTCAAGCAATTTGCATATCCCAACATCTGGCTTTGATGTTTGAATAGAAGGGCCTAACACTGGAACTGGCCTTGAACAAGGTGAAACAAATTCTGGTCTATCCATGTTATTATAAACGTTAAAAGCACTGATACGGGCTAAAGGTCGGAAAAGTGTTGGTTGTTCAATTGATTCATGGCTAGATTGAGTCCTTGTTGGTGCTTTTCCCTTTGATTGATTATCTAACTTTTCCGAAGAGCTTACATCTTTTACTTCCAGGGATCTGAATGAACTGTCCTCCGCACAAGACAGAGTTTCTTCAGATAATGCCTTGTTTTTGTCCAAGCCAGCATCTTCCACCATATTTGCAGATTCTGGGTTTCTTTTGCCAAGATCCATGTATCGGCGCCGCAATGTGGAATTCCAATGATTTTTAATAGCATTATCTGTTCTCCCGGGTAGAAGCCTTGCAATCACTGCCCATTTGTTCCCATGTACAGCATGAGCTGAAATTATCATCCGATCCTCCTCATCTGCAGAAAACTTGATTATCAGTTTGATTTATCCAAAAGAATTAAATAAATTCTTGTCAAAAATTTAAATGCTAATAAATCGAAACACACCAACTAACCACAGAAATGCATAAATATGTTTAAAGGTAAAAAATTGATGAAGTGAAAGTTGCAAACTAACACTCACTGCCGCTATATGACTACGAGCAGAATGTTCATTGACTTGATACATATCATTTCGGCTCGAATACCAAGTGTATGAATGAAGATTGCTACTTTCTTATAAGTAATGACACTTGCCCAAAATACACGCAGTTTCCGTAATGCTTGCCAAAAAACTACTGCCATTTCCAAGCAACTAGATTCATCTAGCCCCAATTTCAACAACATGTGATTCAAGCTTTTACATAGCAAGAGCTAGCTACTTTGTTTCAATTTCAACATTAAACAAAAGAGGTCAGCATTGAGAAATTTTGGGGAAATCATATGATGATTCACTTAAACCACAGTTCTTAAGAGTTTGTAGTTTTCAAACAAATAAAAAAGGCATTAATCTTGAACTTTGGAAAGCATATTACTCTTAACTTCAAATCATTACATAATTCTAACAGGCAAAAAAACATTCAAGCAACTCCTAAACGTTAAGAAAAATAGATAACTACATCGACAGATCAAAGAAAAATGAGCCAATGTATAGACTTCGAACCAGTAAATGGCTTGCGCTTAACGGCCGGATCAAGCTGATTACACCAACGAAGCCGACACGACTTGCCAGAACGGCCGGTGATTCCACGCGCAATCAAACTCCAATTCCTCGCCCCGAACTTGCTTACGAGTTCACTCAGTATCGCATCTTCCTCTGGCGACCAAGGCCCCTTCACTCGCTGTTTGCGCACTCGCCCTCCGGCCGCCGAATCTTCACGGCTTCCGCAATCGTTTCCTTCATCGGCGGCTTCGCCGCCATCTAGGGGCGGTGGTGATGGGACTTTGATTTCGTTTACGGTGGTTCCGTTGCCGTTTCCAACGGTTTCCAGTTCCGTTTCCATTTAGCGTTAGAGTGATGACGGTCACTCGAGTACCAGACTTAACGGCAAAGAGTCTTTGTTACATAACAACTTGGAGAATTGTTAATTTAATAGTAGAGCCCGACATATTCGGTCAATGACACCTTAATTTATTTTTAAAAATCTATTATAAAATTTAATGTAAAAATATCAAAGATAAAATTGGAACCATTTTTAAAAGAGAAAATCGCCTCAGTGACCAAAAATACCTTATAATATACGATTTTAACCAACTTTTTTTGGATTTGCCAAAATGACCAATAAAATCGCAACGCGATATCAAAATCGCAACGCGATTTAGAAAATCGCAAAAGATAGTATCCGCGCGGACGTGTCGAAGACACGTATTACCACGACCACGACCACGAACACGTATTACCACGACCACGACCACGACCACGACCACGACCACGACCACGACCACGACCACGACCACGACACGACACGACACGACCCGACCCGACCCGACCCGAGACGAGACGGCGGCGGCGGCGGCGCGCGAGAGTCCCCCTTGTCCTCTTTCACTCAACAAGGAAGTGCAAAATACAAGCCTTAAATATAATTCCCAATAGTGTTTCCAATACTATGTGGGATTGAGCATTACCAACACTTGTTCCCAATATCATTATTCTTCATAAGTTATCATCCATTACAATATGAATTATCGATAATAAATTAATTCATTTTAATAAGTATTTAAAATTATAACTTGATAAATACATGAAATAATTCTATTATTAAATAAAAAATATATTTTTTATATTAAAATTATTGAGATAGATATTTACTATAAAAGTAAAAGATTTTTTTTTTTCACGTACAACCTCTATGTGAATTAGTTTCACAATAAAGTATCGGTTATGCATTGGATTCTTTCGTATTAGATGGTCTTTAATAAGATCATCATCATCATTCTTTTGTTCAACAATACCATTTATTAATGAGGTATATTGGTTCATTAACACGACTAATTCATATTGTAATGGATGATAACTTATGAAGAATAATGATATTTGGAACAAGTGTTGGTAATGCTCAATCCCACATAGTATTGGAAATACTATTGGGAATGGTATTTAAGGCTTGTATTTTGCATTTCCTTGTTGAGTGAAAGAGGACAAGGGGGACTCTCGCGCGCCGCCGCCGCCGCCGTCTCGTCTCGGGTCGGGTCGGGTCGGGTCGGGTCGTGTCGTGGTCGTGGTCGTGGTAATACGTGTCTTCGACACGTCCGCGCGGATACTATCTTTTTAGAGAAAATTCTTAAGAAACAAAATTTTTTTAACTATTCTTTTGACCGTTGCGATTTTCTCAATCGCGTTGCGATTCTCTCAGTCGCATTGCGATTCTCTCAGTCGCATTGCGATTCTCTTCTAAATCGCGTTGCGACTCTCTCAATCGCATTGCGATTCTATAAATCGCATTGCGATTCAATCAATCGCATTGCGATTTTCTTCTAAATCGCGTTGCGAACTTGGAAGCTCGCGTTGCGATTTTCTTTTGACCGTTGCGATTTTCTTTTTAACGTTGCGATTTTCTAAATCGCGTTGCGATTTTGATATCGCGTTGCGATTTTATTGGTCATTTTGGCAAATCCAAAAAAAAATGGTTAAAATCGTATATTATAAGGTATTTTTGGTCACTGAGGCGATTTTCTCTTTTTAAAATATCATGATATTAATTATTTTTTACTTTTGGTACCTAAAGATTTTTTCGTTAAAAATAAGTATCTAATGATTTCAACGTTACACTTTGATGTATATGTATCGTAACGGTCATTAAATTGGACTGTTATATGACACATGTCACGCATATAAAACTTTAGGAAAAAAACTTAAAAATTGATATTATAATTAAAAAAAACTCCAAAATTCTACCAATGAATAAAACTCCAAAATTCTACTATCGATCGACTATAGTCGATTTGTGGTCGTCAGCGTTGACATCATCAGAACCATCTCATTGTCGTGACCAAAATTCAATTCCCACTCACCATGAAAACATCGCGAAGGGTCGTTCATTTTCTATGTTTTCCTTTATTGTTTTCTAATGATTTTACAATTACAATTGGTTGTACCTTATACGGCTGCCACTATTGAGTTCTTCGTCCTGCTTCGAACAAAGTTCAATTGCTAGTGAACCTTCACCGTCAGAGGTGGGGGATGAGAGGGAGAGGGACGACGCGAAGTTTATTTTTTTAAATAATATTTTTGTTATTAAAAAATAAAAAAAAACAAATGTATGCACCTAAAAGTATAACATAGAAAATCTTAGATGCCTATTTTTAAAGAAAAGTTCTTTAAGCATCAACAGTAAATTTGAGGTATATTTTATGCACCTAAAAGTGTATATTTTTAAAATATATACTTTTAAAATTTTTATGCGTGATGTGTGTCAAATAATGGTCAAATTTAATAATTATTATGATTTAAATATCTAAAAATATAAGGTTATAAGCTTGACAACATGAAAAGATAAAAAAAAATGGTCCACTGTTATGTTATATCATTTAACCGGAAATATTATTAAGTAAAATAATAAATTATGTAGCGTTTATATAATGTAATATGTAGCGCTTATATAATAAAATAGGTTAATTACTGAAAACATTATCAAACACAATAACATATTAGGTTGCGTTTATATAATGTAATAGGTAGCGCTGATATAATAAAATAGGTTAATTACTGAAAATATTATCAAGCACAATAACATATTAGGTAGCGCTTATATAATGCAATATGCAGCGCTTATATTAACTTATTCTATCATAAAACCGGTATATTTATATCGGTAACATTACAAATTTACCTATTACATTATAATTATCGGTTTCGATGTTTTTGGGATCAATACAATTTTAAATGTATCGACACTTTATGCGTGCACCTCGTTGGACATTCATTCTGGAAAAAAGTATCTACACAAACTTAAAACGTGTCGATACATTATGTAGACTTATTTTCTCATAAAACCGATATATTTCTACCAGGTACATTGTAAATTTACCTATTACATTGTAATTATCGGTTTCGAATTTTTGGGATCAATACTTTTAATAAATGTATCGACACTTTATGTGTGCACCTCGTTGGACATTCTTTCTGGAAAAAAGTATCGACACAAACTTAAAATGTGTCGATACATTATGCATATCTATTTTCTCATAAAACCGATATATTTCTACCGAGTACATTGTAAATTTACCTATTACATTGTAATTATCGGTTTCGATGTTTTTGGGATCGATACTTTTAATAAATGTATCGACACTTTATGCGTGCACCTCATTTGGCATTCATTCTGGACAAAATGTATCGACACTTTTTAAATTTGTGTCGATACATTATGTAGACATATTCTCTCATAAAACCGGTATATTTATATTGGTTACATTGTAAATTTACCTATTACATTATAATTATCGGTTTCGATGTAACATATGTGTCGATACTTTTAGAAAATATATCGACACATATGTTTAATTATTCTCTCATTATAATATAATTAATGATATATTATTCTTATTATAATAAATAATAAATATAATTTATAATAATTTTATTTTAATAAAATATAATAATCATAGTTTTTTATTTATAAAATTATAGATATAATATTTTAATAATAATATTGACATAAATAATATTAAATAAATTATTCTAATATTTTAAAAATAATATTATTATTTTGTTAATAAATAATATTATTTTATTGTATTTGATGTTTATAATTATATTATAATTATGATTATTTTTCATCACTTCATTATTATTATTTTTTAAAATTATATTATAATTATATATAATTTTTTTATTTTTTTATTTGAAAGCTAATATCGAAATAGAAATACCGTGTCATTTTTTTCATTAGTTATATTTTGGCAACTTACAAACTAAAAAATTAAAATTAATTTGTATAATTTATTTTTACTAATTTTATCATTAAAAAGTCTAATTTTACCGGTTTTGTTATTGTTAGGCATAACAAAACCGATAAAAATTACCTAAAACATTATTATTTCTACCTAAAACATAAACATTTCGGGTAAAATGCCCAACAATAACAAAACCGGTAAAAAAATAACAAAACGAGTAGCGCTTTACCTATTTTGTTAAAATAATGATATTTTCGGCGATTTTTACATATTTTGTTATTGTTGTATACCGGTTACATTGTAAATTTACCTATTACATTATAATTATAACATATGTGTCGATACTTTTAGAAAATATATCGACACATATGTTTAACTATTCTCTCATTATAATATAATTAATGATATATTATTCTTATTATAGAAAATAAAAAATATAGTTTATAATAATTTTATTTTAATAAAATATAATAATCATAATTTTTTATTTATAAAATTATAGATATAATATTTTAATAATAATATTTACATAAATAATATTAAATAAATTATTCTAATATTTTAAAAATAATATTATTATTTTGTTAATAAATAATATTGTTTTATTGTATTTGATGTTTATAGGCGTTATTACTGTTTTTCTTTTAAATTCTAAAAGTGTCGATACTTATTTAAATGGAATCGATAATTTCAATATATCTGGTAGGTAGTTTAATGTAATAGGTATCGCCTATTTTTTTTACCGTTTACATTATTATACTTGATAATGTTTACAGTAAATAATCGGTTATATTATCATTGATAATATTTTAGGCATTTACCTAATATATTGTAATAACAAATTAAATAATTAACCTATTTTATTATATAAGTGTTACCTATTATGTTATATAAGCGCTATCTAATATGTTATTGTGCTTGATAATGTTTCCAGTAATTAACTTATTTTATTATATAAGCGCTACCTATTACATTATATAAGCTCTACCTAATATGTTATTGTGTTTGATAATGTTTCTAGTAATTAACCTATTTTATTATATAAGCACTACATATTACATTATATAAGCGCTACCTATACATTATATAAGAAGTACATAATATGTTATTGTGCTTGGTAATGTTTCCAGTAATTAACCTATTTTATTATATAATCGCTACCTATTACATTATATAAGCGATACCTATTACATCATATTTTTACATGTTATATTGTAAAGTATCGATCATTTTTATAAAAAAAAGATCAATATATTCAACATATCAGGTAACATTATAATAAAACCAGTAAAATTTACTTGATATATTGAAAGTATATATACTTTTTATAAAAATGTATCGATACTTTGTTGAAAGTTATGTAATTTATGTTTCAAAAATTTTTAATATTACTTCATGTTTTCCACCTACAATATTAATTTAATAATTTCATTTACACAAAAAATTATTTGATTGTTTTAATATTTTATAAAATATTATCTAGAATTTAAATTTAACAATTTAAACCAAAGATAATAATAAATACGTAATATATATGTTTATTATTTTTAATTTAATAATAATATATACTATAACATAAAAATAAACTATTAGTCGTGTATAATTACTAAATTAATATCTTAAAATTCATTAAAAAATAACTTTAAATTAATGTTTTCCACAATGAAATAAGTATGGACAATTATATATATGTATCGATACTTATCGATAACCAAAGTTTATCGGTTATCAAATTTTTTGATAATTTTTCATGTTTTCTACCTAAAACATTATTAGTCTGTCAATATAATAGATAAACTAAATCAAATTTATTAAATATCTTTTAATATATTCGATAATATCATATATTAATAATATATTAGTCGTATTTTCTGAGATAATCCCACCGTAATTCTGGGTTCCATAATTTCAAATATATATTTTTTACCTGGCAACATGAAAAGATAAGAAAAAAAATGGTGGGTTTATCGATGCCTGACTGACCCTTCGAACATTGTAAGATGGTCCATCAAGAGAAGAACCATCCCTTTCTTTTTTAAAATAATCAAAATAAAGTAATTTCTTTGCATCTTTTACAACAGAAAAGGAATTGAAATTGGATGATTTTGCTTGGAATTGAAAAAGACTAGACAGTGGAAACACTTATCCCTTTTGCTGTTCCTATCAAAGGTTTTTCTTTGATAATTTGCAAAGTTACCCACATTTTGTTTTTTTTTGTAAGGATAAAAGTACATTAAATGTCATGGAATTGAGTTGATGGTTAATTTTTTTAAAATCATAAAATAATAATTCAATTTATCAATTTTTTAGACATATTATAATATCTTATTAACTATTTTATAACAATCACATAAATTTAATGATCTTTTTATAAATTTTAAAAAATTAATAACTAAAATGAACATTTAAATATAATTTAATAATGTTTAATCAGGAAGGTTCTAACCGAGTCAAGTCGATTTTTTAAGAATGGAATCGGGTGGGGTTACCTTCAGGCTTAGGATAAAATAAACTGGATCTGACATAATATTATGATTATCACTTATATATTTATAAATAATTATAATATTATTTATTTCTGTTTTAATTTTTAAAAATTATATTCTTGTTTTACCTTATAAAGATGATATATATTTTAGGTCGGACCAAGTCGTTACTATGCTTGTAACTTAAATTGGAAATGGGTACTGGTTAAGGATGTAATTATTAAGAAGTAACATATGTATTGCACTAACTACTTTATTATAAACAAAATTCAGATTTCATCATGTAGTAAAACTTTTTGGATTTTGATCTAAGCTAAAATTTTGGGTCCATAGATAAAACTGTGAATAGACAAAAGATAAAGTACAATCTGATAATTAAGAAGAAGTACAAGTGCAAAACTGAAAAATGTCCATTATAATATTCCCTCAGTTAGCAGCCACTGACACTGAGCGACAAATGAACAGAAGTTGAAGAAACGAGTAAAGTATGTATTTATTTTTCACAACCAACCCCCCTTTGTTCATCACTTTCTTTTCTCTGCTCCTTCACCCACAACCCTAAAGTATAGTAAAAAGAAATCTAGTTGTAGAACAAATCATCATCCAGATTTAGCTCTAAGCCTTAAACCCACTTCAGCAATGGCCACAATCTCCATTTCCAAGTACTTCACAGTTCTTATCTTTTTCCACTTTAAAGTCTTGGCTTTAGAACAAATTTCCTCATTTTCCTTCAATAATTTTGGTAAAGATCCAAACTTTGAGTCTACTATTGCTTTATATGGGGATGCTCATGTTGCTAATGGTGGCTCAGTGATTGAACTCACTAACTCGGTGAAATGGAGTGCTGGGAGAGCCATGTATAAGAAACCCATCAAGCTTTTTGAAGGTAAAGCCAGGAACTTTGCTTCTTTTTCAAACTACTTTTCTTTCTCAATGTCCCATGAGAATGGTAATGGCTTGGCTTTTGTTATGGTTCATAGGACTTTTGATGTTAATGTATTGAACAATAGTTCGTTTGGGGTTTCTTTTAATGGAAGCCATGTAGGGATCGATGTGGGTAGTCTTGTATCAGTTAAAGTGAGAAATTTATCGTCTGTCAATGTGGTGTTAAACCATGGAGAAAAATTACATTTTTGGATTGATTATGAGGCAACTTCAAATAGACTAGAGATTAGGTTGAGTCAATCTAGTACCAGGCCTAATGGTCCATTGTTTTCACACTCGATCGACTTGTCTAAACTGTGGAACGATGAGGAAGTGTTTGTCGGCTTAAGCTCTTCAAATGGGAACTCAAAACAAACAAGCTTTATTCACTCTTGGAGCTTTAAGCTTAGGCAGGTTCCAAATTGGATGCATTCTCAACCACTTGATCCTGAGGCTATTTCAAATAACAGCAAGCTTTTAACAACGTCACACAAGCGCAGCAGTTGTTTTTGGGAAGTGGTTGCTATGTTCATCTTTGGTTGTGTTTGTGGTATGTCGACAGCTTCTTGCCTGGTATACCTACGGACCGTCCTTGGTGGTAGGCGTCCGGTAGTGCCTGAAGAGTGCAGTGTGCACCCTGTGGATTTTGAGTACAAGAAAGTCGAATTAGTAGTCGAGAAAGTTGTCAAAGATGACAAGAAATAGATGATTTATGTTGTAAAACGATGGTTTTCTTTTGTTATTGTAGTTGCAGGTTTCATGTGTGCTTTGTAGTTTGTTACTGATGACCAATTGTGAAATATGTAGCTCTTTGTTACATAGTGTTTAATGATTGAAGCATTGAGATTTAACATACTGCAATGTTGCTTGTTGTAACCTTAATTGCAAATGCATGTTTTTTAGCAAGTTCTGTAAGAAATCTATAACTGTGACCTGAATTGAGGATAATATACATGCAGAAGACTGTAGTGTGCACTCTTTGGAATTGGAATATGCATATTTCTCGTAATTGTGGTTGCTGGTTGTGTGATTGTAGCTGATGACTAATTGTGAAGAACGTGGCTCTTTGTAACATAGTGTTCATTAGGATTGAACACTTGATTGAGTTTTGTCAAAAAAAAAATTGAGTTTTTCGAGTTGATGAATCCTATTTTATAACTTAAATTTTATTTGAAACTTTTTTTAGTCTAGTCGAGTTGAATTTATGAAACTCAAGTCAAGGTGAGTTGTTCGAGTTGTTTAAATTTAATTGTAAATATTTATTATGTTATTGTATTATTTGATTCCAGTAACGGTTTCTATAATCATATACATTATCCAAAAATATTTTTCCATGTGATATACGTATGTCATGCAAAGTTAAGGGATTTGACTTAAATTTGAAAATTAATCCACGAATTACTAAATATTTTGAGTTATTCATTTCTTATAACTTGATTTGGATTTGAATTTTTTTTCTAGTCGATTCAAATGTTTTAACATCTAGTCAAATCGAGTTAAAAAATTTAATTTTTTAACTCGAGTCGAATTTTACTCGCCCCAAACATTCACAGGGAACGGGTGAGATTTATCTTAAATATGGATTGCAATGTTACTTGTAACCTTAATTGTACGTTGCACTATTCTTGAGCAAACTGTGGAAGAAAAGTAGATAACTGTGCCTGAACAAGATATGTGTAGCCTTGGGGTTTGTTTATGCTTCGTTTCGCTGTGAGTTCGTGAAATTTGCAGAACCGAGTACATGTAGGCTCCATGTTTTAGCACATTTTATGATGGACTGGGATGTATGGCATTGGCACTTGAAGTTCGAATATTGAAAATAATATAGTTGGAATAATTAATATTGAAATTTAACATTCATATAGGCATAAATAAACATGTCCAGCTTAATCTATTCTTTTGCCAGAGACCGGCAATTGGTTGTTTTTTTCGCATTGTTTTACATTGGCTGAAGAACCGAATCATTCATCGTCATACTCCTCTTCCTCCTCGTACTCTTCCTCATCATCGGCGGTTGCATCTTGGTACTGCTGGTACTCAGAGACCAGATCATTCATGTTGCTTTCAGCCTCTGTGAATTCCATCTCGTCCATACCTTCACCTGTGTACCAGTGCAAGAAAGCCTTTCTCCTGAACATAGCCGTGAACTGCTCGCTCACGCGCCTGAACATTTCCTGAATCGAAGTCGAGTTCCCGATGAACGTAGATGCCATTTTCAACCCATTTGGAGGGATATCACAGACTGTCGACTTGACATTGTTTGGGATCCATTCCACAAAGTAGGATGAATTCTTGTTCTGGACATTGAGCATCTGTTCATCAACTTCCTTTGTGCTCATTTTGCCCCTGAACATGGCTGATGCAGTAAGGTACCTTCCGTGGCGCGGATCGGCAGCGCACATCATGTTCTTGGCATCCCACATTTGTTGGGTCAGCTCAGGCACGGTTAAGGTTCGGTACTGCTGTGATCCGCGAGAGGTAAGAGGTGCAAACCCAACCATGAAGAAGTGAAGCCTAGGAAACGGAATGAGATTCACAGCGAGCTTCCGAAGATCCGAGTTTAGCTGACCGGGAAACCTCAAACAACATGTTACCCCGGACATTGTAGCAGATATCAAATGGTTCAGGTCTCCAACTGCACCAACGAGGATATCGAAACAAATCATTAGCCAAATTGAAATGAAAGATTTAATGGAACTCAGAGAGGAAAACTAGGATGTGCTCACAGCTTGGAGTGGTGAGTTTGAGGGTACGGAAGCAAATGTCGTAGAGAGCTTCGTTGTCGAGGACCATGCACTCATCCGCATTTTCGACGAGCTGATGTACCGATAAAGTAGCATTGTAAGGTTCAACCACCGTATCGGATACCTTGGGAGATGGAAAAACCGAGAAAGTAAGCATCATCCTGTCCGGATATTCCTCTCTGATCTTCGAGATCAAAAGGGTTCCCATACCAGATCCCGTTCCACCTCCTAGCGAGTGGCAAACCTGAAAACCTGTAATAATCCCAACATAAAGTAAGAAAACGTATGGGAAAAGAACAAAAAAGGGAAAAAGGGGAAGAAAAGAAAAGATCTTACCCTGCAAGCAGTCACAGTTTTCAGCTTCTTTTCGGACAACATCAAGAACAGAATCGATGAGTTCGGCACCTTCGGTGTAATGGCCTTTAGCCCAGTTGTTTCCCGCACCAGATTGGCCGAAGACAAAGTTGTCTGGTCTGAAAATCTGACCATAAGGGCCAGACCTGAGACTATCCATGGTACCAGGTTCAAGATCCATGAGGACAGCCCTGGGAACATACCTCCCACAACTTGCTTCATTGTAATAAACATTGATCCTCTCAAGTTGAAGATCAGAGTCCCCTTGGTACTTCCCGTTCGAGTCGATGCCGTGTTCGGCACAGACCACTTCCCAGAACTTGGCACCGATTTGGTTGCCGCATTGGCCTCCCTGGATGTGAAGGATTTCACGCATTTTTTTTTCGGATTAAAAAGAAAGAAACGAGTGAATGAAGAAAATGAGAGGGTTAGAGAAGAAGGTGGGGACGTAGGGAGCTTTATAGAAAAAGATAATGGGGTTAAACGGTAAGAAAATTGTGGGTTTACTTTTTGAATTTTGAATGACGAAGCGGGAGGAAGATCCTTCCTTTTTTAATCATCTTTTGGAAAGTAATAAAGTGACGGTCAGAATCAATTTCAATAATCAAAATGAGACAAATAGCTGGATTGCATTGGATTACATATTTGAACCAACCAAAAACAGATTACATATGGTGTCATGATGTAGAATTAGAACCAAGTGTTCACATGGTAGCCAGCCAAGCCCAGGTGCAACAAACACATGGAAACCAAGCATATTTCCAGTACAGCTTCATCAGTGCACAATGTGAAGCATGAAACTCTAATACTCCACAGAAACTGCAGATCAATGATCCGTCCAAGTCAACTTCCGGTTAGAAAGATCGAAATAGGGTTCTCCTCGACATGCAACGGCACATGGTTCGGTAATCTCAACCGAGATGAGATGCACCGGATTGTGTTCCCGTCATTTCCTTTCTGGCATTGCGTTAGTGCATACTTGCACCAATTCTCTATCTGGTGCAAAAGTTCACTTTTCGTAACAAGTTCTGCAAAAATTGAGCCGTATGATTCTTTCATAAAACTAATGAACAAGCACCAGAATTATACTATCATGATTCGTGAATAGATTGAACAGCATCAGAGCAAAAGATATATAGTTCATATTCGTTTCCAGATGTAAATAAAATTTCTCATATTTACTCCTGAAATTAGCTTGACTTAGAGTTATCAGATACGAGGACAACAAAGAATCAAAATAGAGTTAAAAGATGGGACTTTCTCTCACCTGATACAAGAATGTTGCAAAACGACAGCTGATTTCAGTTCGATGTAGGGATAAAAATTCGATTGAATCGAATTTTGTTCACCAATATTCAGAAAAGGACAATACTTTTGATCTAACGGATAAGATAGTCCTTGCCTACGCATCCATGGAGCAGGTTTTATTACATGACCCGAAAACTAAGACCCAAAAAAAACCGACCTGATAAAATTTATCAGTTCAAGGACAAGGGAAAAAACCTCATGGATAAACCCTACACCATTTGAAACAGAAACAATGGCATCACTTCTTCAACTTCCTCACTCTTTCTCACCGTTCTTGAATTCTCCGAACCCAAGAATTCAGTTCCTAAAATCTTCCAAGTTCGTAGCTTTACTAAGAGCATCGGCTGAAACGAACGGAGCCATTGAAACCCCAAAACCAGCTGGTCGAGGCAGGAAAAAGAAACCAACTTCATCTTCCCCAGAAAATCCAACGGAGAAGAAAACAGAAGGCGGGAGAAAAGCCCAGGTTGAAAATAGCTCGAATGAGGGAGGAGAGGAGGAACTATGGGATTTCGACGATGGCATGGATTTTCCGTACGAGGAACCTCTTTTGATCTGCTGCTTTGGCACTGCACAAAAGGAGTTTATACCCACGGTTCGAGTGAACGAAGAACCGATGGAACCGATGCACCCGGATAAATACTCCACCTGGAAAATGCTGCAATGGGATCCACCGGAGTTCGGGAGAGCACCAGGTGGACCACCATCCAACGTGGCGATATCCCACGTTAGGCTCGGAGGGAGAGCTGCGTTTATGGGAAAAGTTGGGGATGATGACTTCGGCGATGAGCTTGTTCTGATGATGAATAAAGAGAAAGTGCAAACCAGAGGTGTTAAGTTTGATCAGAATTTAAAGACTGGGTGTACTTATATGAAGGTTAAGTTTGATGAGAATGGGGAATTGAAGATGGAGACTGTTAAGGAATCTGCTGAGGATTCTCTTCTCAGCTCTGAATTGAATCTTGCTGTTGTCAAAGAGGTAACTTTTAGAACTTCCTCTACATTTGTTCTTGGAACATTTTATGATGGTGTGAAATTGGTTACACTTATATTATCATTGTTGATAATGCTCAATCCCACATGGTGTTGGAAACATTATTTGGAATGATATTTAAGGCTTGACATTTCACTTCCTTGTTGAGTGATAGAAAACAAGGGGGGCTCTCGCGCACCGCCGCCGCCGTCCGTCCGTCTCGTCTCGTCTCGGCTCGGCTCGGCTCTGAGTGCTTTCCGATCAGAAGTACAATACCACCATCAGTCCACTCCGGTTTCGGGTGTACGGAATTCGGAGCGACCGTGTTAACCTCGGGGGACGGTCCGCCTACTGCAGCGATTACACATATCGGGGTGAATTCGTTTCTAAGGCAGTGGTTCTTACCACGACACGGTTTACGAATTTGTTCTTCTTAATTACTGTTTATATTTCAGTCAGTGCTAACGGTGTAGTTTTGCAGTTCATATATCCAATAATTTAGAAACGAATTCCATAAACTGCAATCATGTCGACACCTTTGAGCAAACTCATTCCCGATCTTTCCAAGCTCGATGCACTTGATGAAAAGAACTATAGAAGGTGGTCCCAAAGAATTCTGATATTCTTCGAACAACTTGATCTTGACTACGTGTTGCTCAAGCCACCACCTACCATGCCGTCAACCCCAGCTGCCGGTAATGATGCGGATGTGGTCCTCAATGATGATGCCTTAGCAACTGCCGCCGCCGCTCTCGCTACCTACGAGAAATACGAGAAGGACAACAAGACGGTGCGAGGACATCTGCTCAGCCACATGTCAAATAAACTATTTGATATGTTCCTTAGAGAAAGGAGTGCCAAGTCAATATGGGACACTCTCGACAAGAAGTATGGTGCGGATGATGCGGGGATCAAGAAGTACGTTATCGGCGAATGGCTCAAATTCCAGATGACAGACGACAAGCCAATAATGGATCAAGTCCATGACTATGAGAACTTAGTCGCTGACATCATCACTGAAGGGATGCAAATGTGTGAGGTGCTGCAAGCCAATGTACTCATTGAGAAGCTGCCCGAGTCCTGGTCCGACTACCGCAACTCTCTTAAGCATAAGAAGAGAGACATTTCGCTTGAAGAACTTGTGGGCCATATGAAGATTGAAGAAGCCAACCGTTTAAAAGATAAGCTTACTAATTCTATGAGTAATTTATCTTTTAGAGCTAACTTGGTTGAGTCTAAATTTAAGAAGATCATGAAACATGGGAATCAAGAAAATAAGACGAAACCACAGAAGGCTACCAACTTCAAGAAGTCAGGAAAGGCCAAACCGGAAGGAAAGACGTTCAAGTGTTATGTCTGCGGTTTACCCGGCCACAAAGCTTACCAATGCCAACACCGCTCAGACCGCCAGAATGACAACAAGCAACAGATGCACGTTGTAGAAGAAGATGATGAGATCATTGCTGCGGTGGTCTCAGAAGTTAATCTGGTGGAGAATAGTTCAGAATGGGTAGTTGACACTGGCGCTTCGAAGCATTTCTGCGCAAGGAAGGAGTTTTTCACCGAGTTCGAGAATGGGAACACTGGTGAACGTGTGTACATGGGGAACTCTAGCAGCTCTGAAGTGCTAGGCAAAGGCAAGGTTTTACTCAAGCTGACTTCTGGTAAAACTCTGGCTTTAAATAATGTTATGTATGTACCTGTCTTGCGTAGAAATCTGATAAGTGGTGGGCTTCTGAATAAGGCAGGCATTAAGTTAGTTTTTGAGGCAGATAAACTTGTACTTTCCCGAAATGGTGATTATGTGGGGAAAGGGTTTTTAAGCAATGGTTTATTTGTCATAGAAACTCAATTTAATGAAAATAAAGCTACCACTTCTGCTTATATTGTTGAATCCATTGATATATGGCATGCTAGATTAAGACACATGAATATTCATGCTTTAAAGAAATTAATGAATATGAATAGTCTGCCTAAACTAGACACAACTAGCTTTAACAAATATGAGATTTGTGTAGAAGCTAAGCATACTAGACCTCACTTTAAGACTGTTTCTAATAGAAAGACTGAACTGTTAGAACTTATTCATACTGATCTAGCAGATTTTAGAAACACTGAAAGTAAAGGAGGAAAACACTACTACATAACTTTTGTAGATGATTATTCAAGATATACAAAAGTTTATCTCCTAAGAACTAAAGATGAAGCTGAAAATTTCTTTCTTATTTATAAGGCAGAAGTTGAAAATCAGTTAGATAGGAGAATCAAACGGGTTAGATCTGATAGAGGTGGTGAATATGGATCTAATTTCTTAAAAGATATTTGTGAAAAGAATGGCATAATTCATGAAACATCAGCCCCCTATTTTCCTCAACAGAATGGTATAGCCGAAAGGAAAAATAGAACTTTAAAAGAGATGATGAATTCTTTACTAATAAGTTCTGGGTTATCTGATAACATGTGGGGGGAGGCCATTCTATCGGCAACTCATATCTTGAACCGAGTTCCTCATAAGAAATTAGATTCTACTCCATATGAATTGTGGAAAGGATACGCTCCTAATTTACAATACCTGAAAGTGTGGGGGTGTCTGGCTAAAGTGGGCTTGCCAAACTTTAAGAAGTCCACCATCGGACCTAAAACCGTTGATGTAGTGTTTATAGGGTATGCTGCGAATAGTGCTGCATACAGATTCATGCTTTTACAAGATTATTCTATTTGTGAGTCAAGAGATGCTGTTTTCTTTGAAAATACTTTTCCTTTAAAGGAACCGAGAATAAATATTGAAACACAAATAGAATATATTCCATCAACTTCTTCTAGTAATCCTGCTAGGTCTTCTGAACAAATTGATTTTGAGCCTAGAAGAAGTAAAGGGCAAAGAGTTGAAACATCTTTTGGACCAGACTTTATTACTTCCTTTATTTCTGAGATAAATGATTTAGACTTCATTTCAGATCCTATAGCTCAAAATTTTCTATTAGATGAGGATCCTAAAACTTTTGAAGAAGCTATAAGATCTATCGATGCTAGTTTTTGGAAAAGCGCTGTTAATGATGAACTAGAATCGATAATGTCTAATCATACTTGGGAATTAGTTGACTTGCCTAATGGATTCAAACCAATCTCCAACA